AAATGGCGGCGGAGGAGGACAGCAGGAGAGGAGGCTGCGAGGCGGGAGGAAACCCACTGTTCTCACGAACGATCACGCCTCGGCCCAGCGTCGGGGGAGGGGGCCTCCGGCTGCGGCGGCGCCTCGCCGACCCCTGTGGCGTTGGCAGCGCCACCCGACCCTGGCGGGGGCGAGGGGGGGCTCTCCTCTGCAGCTCGTGCCTCCCCAGCCTGGCTCTCCTGCTTGACCTCGTCCTGTGTCGGAGCCGGCCTCCTGGGCGTCTCCGTCTCCTCCTCCGCCAAGGAGCCTCCGAAAGGGGGCTCCGGCCTCGCCTCCGCTGGGAGGGCGTCAGCGTAGTAGTAGCCGTAGTAGCGGTAGTACTCCTGGACATTCCCGCTACTCTTGGCTGGGCGCTCGTCCGGACCGGCCATGGCTGGTGGCGGGTCCGTGACCAAGGGCTCGCTGGGGGCAGGGAGCGCTGCTGATGGAAGTGGCCTAGATGGCGCCTCCACCGCTAGCAGCTCGTCGCTGTCCGTAGTGATGCAGCTGGCTCCACGCATCTCCTCCGGCGAGGCCTGCTGCTCATCGGGGGCGCCATCCTCGTCTGGCCGTGCCCGTTCATGGCCTCCCTCCTCGGGGCCCGCCATCGTGGCCGTCGCATGCACTGTCGCATACCAACTCACGCCGAATGACGAGTCGAGCCAGGTAACCAGCGCCCCGACCGCCAGCGCGAGAGTACACTCGATGCTGTGGAGCGGCCTCATGACCTCCTCGTCGCTACGTCCAGCCAGGCAGCGCCACAGCTGAGGCAGCCACAGGCGTCACGTCCGCTGCGGGCCGCGGGGCTCCCCTCCGGAGCCCCCGCCCGCACTGGAGGGGGGACCTGGCCCAGCCACTACCCAGCACTCCTCGGAGTGCCCGTGCTATGGCCCCGCCCGCTCACCCCAAAATTATTCGCGGCTCCGCAGGAGCCTTGAGCAAATGGCGGCGGAGGAGCACAGAAGGAGAGGAGGCTACGAGGCGGGAGAAAACCCACTGTTCTCACGAACGATCACGCGAACCGGGGAGGACCGGTCCTCCTCCTCCTCTTCCTCCTCCTCCTCCTCCTCCTCCTCCTCCTCCTTTTCCTCCTCCTCCTCCTCCTCCTCCTCCTCCTCCTTTTCCTCCTCCTCCCCCTCCCCCTCCTCTCCTCCTCCTCCTCCTCTCCTCCTCCTCCTCGTCCTCCTCCTCCTCCCGTCCTCCTCCTCCTCCTCCCCTCCTCCTCCCCTCCTCCTCCTCCTCCTCCTCCTCCTCCTCCTCCTCCTCCTCCTCCTCCTCCTCCTCCCTCCTCCTCCTCTCCTCCTCCTCCTCCTCCTCCTCCTCCTCCTCCTCCTCCTCCTCCTCCTCCTCCTCCTCCTCCTCCTCCTCCTCCTCCTCCCCTCCTCCTCCTCCTCCTCCTCCTCCTCCGCCTCCGCCTCCTCCTCCTCCTCCTCCTCCTCCTCCTCCTCCTCCTCCTCCTCCTCCTCCTCCTCCTCCTCCTCCTCCTCCTCCTCCTCCCTCCTCCTCTCTCCTCCTCCTCCTCCTCCTCCTCCTCCTCCCCTCCTCCTCCTCCTCCTCCTCCTCCTCCTCCTCCTCCTCCTCCTCCTCCTCCTCCTCCCCTCCCTCCTCTCCTCCTCCTCCTCCTCGTCCTCCTCGTCCTCCCTCGTCCTCCTCGTCCTCCTCGTCCTCCTCCTCCTCCTCGTCCTCTCCTCCTCCTCCTCGTCCTCCTCGTCTCCTCGTCCTCCTCGTCCTCTCGTCCTCCTCGTCCTCGTCCTCGTCCTCGTCCTCGTCCTCGTCCTCGTCCTCGTCTCCTCCTCCTCCTCCTCCTCCTCCTCCTCCTCCTCCCTCTGCGTAACCGCATGCCCGCGATGATAAACGATCCACCCTTGAACCCTTGATTCATGATGATCCATGGGATACTTTATTTGACAAGCGGGCGGAGCGGCGAGGCCGAACTTAATTACCAACAAGGAAAGCACGAATCGTACATTGAATAATATTATCATGATTATGACTTGCCATCGTCGTCATCATCCCTTGCTATCATCATCTCCCTCGCGTAGACTCCCATGTGGGCACACCCCTCCCACAGTTCGTGGCCACATATGGCTGCCTGGTGCTATGCGTGCTGCGAGAGCATCAAGCATTATTACTCTTATTCCTTCTCTTCTCTATATCTCTCTCCTACTCCCTTTCTTCCTCCGATCCGCGCCCCTGCTGAACTTGTTTACCATCGCCATTGACTATCACCCCCCAGAGAGCAACCATGAGTAATCCTACACGACGACTGGGGAAAATCTTAAAACGTATTCAGCTCTACGCATAGAATTTGATAAATCCGAAAACTCATTTCAATGGGAATATCCTCCTCATCTTCCTCCTCCCTCTCCTCGTCGTCGTCCTCGTCCTCCTCCTTCTCCTTTTCCTCCCCTCCTTCTCTTCCTTCTCTTCGTTGCTCCTTCTCTTGCCTATATTCCTTCTATACTCTATCTCCCCCTCCTTTGTCTACCGTCCCCAGAGAGAGAGAGAGAGAGAGAGAGAGAGAGAGCGAAGTGTGGCTGCACCATCGTATTTCACAAGTTGTTCGCCCCTCCCACCCCGCCAGGGAGGCCCCGCCAGAGCGAGCGCGGTGTCGCTACACCATACTATTTCTCAGGTTCCGTGCTCGTCCGACCCCAACCAGGGAAGGCATTGCCAGAACCAAGAGCAAGAAAGATCCCTCAAGCTGCGTGCTCCTACGTCCGTGCACCGTACATGTCTACATGCGAATTGCCGGGAAACTCTTTTACTACGCACCCAGGGCTGGAGCTTTATTATCCCCGTGGTGTGATTATCATCAGCACAGGGTTAAGCATCTTGGCCAGCACGAGCGCGTTCTGTACAGGATGTCCGCTGTGCCGCAGCGTCGGCGGCGGAAACCACGGTCGAGGAGCACGAGCACCCCGTCACAGCCCCCGCGCCGCCGAGAGGCCTCGGGGCCCGGAGGCAGAGCTCAAAACACGCTGATATACCCTCGAATATCGAACCTCGATTTTCCTCCTGCCCCCGCCCTTCCTCCCCCCTCCATCCCCTCCTGGAGGAGCAGAGGGGGAACGCCCCGACCCGTCCCTCCATCCCTCCTCTCTCACTCCCTACCCTCATCCACGGGCACTCACGTTTGGGCTCAAGGTCGGCTTTTGAGTAACGGCCAGGTCTGCGAAGCCCCCGAGCACGCCCAACCAAGGCGTTGCTCGCAGTTCCGACGTGAACGAAGGGGGGCGGCCCCGCCTGGCATCACCCCCCGCGCAAGAAGCGCGGAGCGGCACAGGTGCTGGTGAGGCTAAGGCAAGCAGCAGGCCTGCTGGCACGTCACCACAGCAGCGGGTCGACTGCGACGATGGTTCCAAGACGTACGGCCTCCCAGTGCAGCCAGCAGCAGCCAGCAGCAGCAGCAGCAGCAGCCAGCAGCAGCAGCAGCAACAGCCAGCAGCAGCAGCAGCAGCAGCAGCAGCAGCAGCAGCTATCAGCAGCAGCAGCAGCAGCAGCAGCGCGCCGCCGCCCAGGAGCCGTGGAGCTGCAGGGGCTGCCAGACCAGCAACTTTTCGCCCCTCGCAGCACGTGCAGGAGCTGCGGAGGCAGAACACATCGGGGTGATCCCTGGAGGCAGCGCGAGGAGCGCGCCGACCCCCAGGGGAGCGAGGCCACGCCCCGACCCCTCGAGGAGCGAGGCTCGCGGGACGGCCGAGGGCAGCGGGCCCAGCAGCAAGGCGCCTGGGCCGATGATCCGCCGAAGGCCGACGGCCTCAGGCAGTACACAGAGTCCCTGCGCAAGGCGCCCACGGCCGCCGACGGGCGCGCGCGGGCCAGTAGGGGGCGGGTCAACCCGGATCCACTCCGCCTGTGCAGGGCGGAGCAGGAGCACGCAGCGACCCACTGCCAGGTGATCGTGCCCAGGGATGCTGACTCGCGGGGCGAGACGCAGGAGGCCCCGTGTGAAGATAGCAAGGAGGGCGCTAGATGCATCGAAGGACGCCGCGCTGGCCGCCGCAAGCGAAGCGGACACCAAGCAGGCCACGCGGGACCTCGAGCATGCGAAGAGCTTCTTGGAACGCCTTTCGGCGTGGTGGATTGACCTGGGCTAGGGCATCCAACAATGTTCATTCCAGTCACGGAACTTGGCCCTGTCCCCTGCGAACGTCTTGGGTTGCTGTGTGAGCTTATCCGGCTTTTGGCAATCCCCTGATTTTCCCTTCCTTTTGCTATTGACTCAGCTACTTGGTTACCTGGTGGAGTTCGTGATTTTTGTTTGTTTATGTACGTTAGTTTGGTCCTCCAAGTGCTCGGTTCTGAACTGAAATTGTTTCGTTTTTCTTCCGCGTACCTGTTGCGATTCACGATGCTCAGAAATAGTGAACACATCTTCTGGGTCATGAGCAATAGCTCGTAACTCTCGTCATTGGTGACGGTCCTGACACCTGCTGCAATTTGGCTTTCAATTAACCCCAACTCTTAACGCTACCTTCACATAACTGTAGCCACCCCCATGATATGCGGCCGGCTTCACACAATTCATTGAACCTCGCCGGATTTGGGTTGAACCATTGATCTCAGTCTTGAGGGGTGCTCATATCGGGAAGTGTGTCTCCTGGGTGTGCAGGTGCGGCTGCTGCTGCTGCTGCCGCTGCTGCCGCTGACCTCGCTCCGCTACCATGCAAACCCTGGAGAAAAATGGCACGATAAAGATTCGAGGATAATAGGCGGTGTTTTGACAGCGACACAAAGCAACTGTGCCGCTTGAGCCAAACAGCGTCTGTACCGACGACTGCTGGACTGAACTACATCACCGTGCTCCTCACCCAGCTGCAGAACCATGCTCCTCCTTCTCCTCCTCCTCCTCCTCCTCCTCCTCCTCCTCCTCCTTCTCCGTCGTCCCCCTCCGGCTCGGCGCCACGCCGCGATGGGCCAAGAGCCCGCGCCGCTGGACCCCTCGTGCCGCGCGGTCGAAAAAGGGGCGAACGCTCCTCCTTGGCGCCGTAATCCCTGTAGGCTTCCTCCGGGTAGCCCTGCGGGGTCGCTGTTAACGCCGCCGCCGCTGCCGCCGCCGTCGCCGTCGCCGTCAGATCGCCATCGTCATCGCCGCCGCCGCCGCCGCCGCCGCCGCCGCCGTCGTCGTCGTCGTCGTCGTCGTCGTCGTCGTCGTCGTCGTCATCGTCGTCGTCGTCGTGCGCTGGTCTGGTACCCGGCGGGGGGCGGTGCCAGGCAGAGCTACCCAACAGGTGCGCGCCAGTGCTGCCCGTTCGCGGTGCGCAGCGCCGCGGCGCCTCATCTCGGCGGACACAGCCAGCCTCGAGCGTATGCCTATTCCTGAGGCTCGCCATCGCTCGGAGGTCCATTCCCGTGCATTTTACGATTTAGCGCGCGTAAGTTTTCGCAAGATGATGCTAGATGCTCCTCGAAGGCCCATCGCCGATAAAATGCGCACGTGCGAGCGATGTCAAGACGATCGGCACGCCCAAGACAATGACAATATTAGTGATGTGCCATCAGAACTTGAGATCGGCACCGACTGAAGGAGTTGCCAATCCGCCGACCCCTCTGGGGGTTATTCGGCGTGTGAAACACTTACCCCGCCCCAAACCCCGACCCGAAGAGCTCGGCCCGGCTGGTTTGACGGGGGGGGCGTCCAGCCCGATTCGGCCGAATTCAGCCGAGGAGGTCATTTACTTCAGGACGGCCTCGACATGGCCCCAAGAGGCACCAAGATGGCCCAAGATGGCCCCAACGTGGCCCCAAGTGGACTCAAGACACCACAATATGGCCTGAAGACAATCCATGAAGGCCCCAAGGCACCCCCAGAGGGTTCCAAGAGGACTCCCAAGAGGACCCTCAGAAGCACAAGTCGCCCCAATCCCGTAGGAAAACGCGTACTAATAATATGAGCGCCCTCTTGGGTTTAAACGCGTCCACGACGGCCCAAGATGCCCCCGAGGCGCTCCCAAGGGGCCCCCAGAGGCCCCCAAGAGGTCCCCAAGAGGCCCCAAAGGCCCCCAAGAAGCCCCAAGAACCAAGAGGCCCCAAGAGGCGCTCACTCGCGTGCTGCCAGGCCAGAGGTGTACGGCCTGACTTGGTATTGCTCGGAAGCGAAAGCGATGAACGAAGAACCTTCCACCCGTCGCCGTCACCAGTCGTCGGTCGTCGGCCGTCGGCAGCCGTTCGCCGTCAGTCGTCGTCGTCGTCGTCGTCGTCGTCGTCGTCGTCGTCGTCGTCGTCGTCGTCGTCGTCGGTTTGTCGTCATTAACTCCTTCGTCGGTGCCGTCGTCATTATCCCGCTCGTCGACCGTTGGTCGTCCGTTGTCGTCGTCATCGTCCATTTCAACAACAATAGCATCAGGAGCGCCCCGGATCGGCGGCACTGGCCGGAGGCCACTACAATCATATGAGCGCCTTCCCGGGTTTAAACGCGTCCACGACGGCCCAAGAAGCCCCCAAGATCGCTTCAAAACGGCACAAGAGGCCCAGACGGCTAAGGAAGCCCTCGGTCAAGCGGGCCCCCCTGAACGGCCCAAGAGGGCTCCAAAGTGGCCCAACAGACCCTCAAGGCGGCCTCAGAAAGGGCCCCCGAACGGCCCCGAAAGCGCCAGGCGGCTCAAGAGCGCCCAAAGACGACCCAAGACGCCCCCAAGAGGCCCCCACAAGGCTACCAAGAGGCCTCAAGATGACTCAAAGAGGCCCCCAGAAAGCTTCCAGGAACCCCCACATGCCCATGCTCTACGCGCTCCAAACGTGCACGCCGCGAAGCATCCACAGAGGCCCTGGGTGGCCTCCACGACGCCTCCGAGCGCGTGACATTGCTCCTCCCTCGAATTTGAGCACCTAACAACCATTTCTCCTTGGAAGACTTTGCTGAGGTGTGACCAAGGGCTCGCCGGTGCGGCGTGAGCCTTGGAGTCCACGTCCAAAGGTGACGTGCTGAGCGGCAGCGTTTTCTGGCGAGCGCCGTGTAAATCCCAGTTTGGGCTCCAAGAACTTACCACAACGAATGGAACATCTTTGATGTCGGCCTCTGGGGCCTCCTGGGGGTCGGGAAAAGCTTTGAAACGGCTCAGCGCAGCTTCCCGAAGGCCCAAGACGGCCTCGAGACGGCCCGAGATGGCCCCAAGAAAGCCCAAGAGGCTCCCAAGACGGCCCTGGAGGGCCAGAAGGAGGCTCCCCAAAGCACCCCCACAAGCCAACATTGATTCTCCGATAGGTTTGCAATATTTTCGCGTCCTCGCCTTTTCCGATTCTCGGGAGCCCACGACTGCCCAAAACCCCCCAAGATGGCCCGGAGACGGCCCCAGAGACCCCCAAGAGGGCCCAAAAACTGCCCAACAGGGCCCCAAATGGCCTGCTGAGGCTCTAGGAAGGCTCAAGAGGCCCCCAAGACGCCCAAAGGGGACTCCCAGAGAGCCACAAGCTGGCCCCGAGAGGCCCCCAAGACTGCCTCCGAAGGCGCCAGGCGGCACAAGAGCGCCCCAGAGGCCCCCAAAAGGCACCCAAAATGCTTCAAGAGCCCACGAGAAGCCTCCAAGTTGCCCCAAAGAGGCCCCCAAACGGCCCCCCCAAAACACCAAGAGGCCCGCGGCATTGGATACGAATAGCGCGCTGTTGCTGTGCTTGCTCATCAGAATTTGAATCTGGCGTTGCATTGTGCTGAGTGGTGAGTGCTCAATGCCCTCGTGGACATTCGTACGCTCGTGGGCATTCACGCGCTCGCCCTGGCGCTGAAACCGTTGGGGAGGGGCGCATCCGCCCCCCGCGGCGCTGGCAGCGCCCTGGGCCAGGCAGAACGACGCGGCGGAACTTCTCGGCGAATGAAAACTGCAAACCATCCAACGCTCAATCTCAACGCGCTCCAGACGTGCACCCCGCCAAGCGCGAAGAATCCACGTCCAGAAGTGACGTCTTACCCGAGGCAAGTCGCGGAGCGGAACGCAAGCTTTAGTGCGACGTATCAAGTGGGCACCATTATTGGGCAAGTGCACCATTGACCTGATTTAGCGTTTTCAAATGCAGCCACCCCTACACCCTTGGAGACGCGCCACATACGCGGACCAAACTGACGGCCCCCCAAACTGGGTGACAAAAACATGATCGACCCACGAACCCGGAAAAGAATATAGAAATGTTAGGCATGACAACGTTTCAAAGACACCTGATTGGGCGACGGGCAAACGCAATGCTGAGTGTATTGATCTTGATGTACCGTGCCGAGGGCTGTGCTGTGCAGCGCCGTGCTGAATTTGCGATGTGCCATGCCGCGATTGTGCTCTATAGCGTTGTGGATCGAGTCCTCCTTTGCATCCGAGTCCTAACCGAACTGATCTGGATCTTAAGCTCGAGCTTCCTCAGCACATAGTAGCTGCCCCAGAGCTAATTGACAGGGGAACGCCAGGAGGACGCGCCGCGGAACGTCCCAAGGGACGCGCCAGGCGACGTGTCAAGGGACGTGCCACGGGAACGCACCGCGGGACGTGCCGAGGGGACGCGCTACGGAACGTGCCAATGGACGTGCCACGGGACGTGCCAGGGTACGCGCCGCGCGACGTGCAGGAGGACTCGCCACGAAACGCGCCACTGAAAAAGCCAAGATGCAATGCTGAGTGTATCGATCTTGATGTACCGTGCCGAGGGCTGTGCTGTGCAGCGCTGTGCTGAACTGCGATGTGCCATGCCGCGATTGTGCTCTATAGCGTTGTGGATCGAATTCTCCTTTGCATCCGAGTCCTAACCGAACTGATCTGGATCTTAAGCTCGAGCTGCCTCAGCACATATTAGCTGCCCCAGAGCGAATTGACAGGGGAACATGCCGGGCGGACGCGCCGCGGAACGTCCCAAGGGACGCGCCAGGCGACGTGCCAGGGGACGTGCCACGGGGCACCGCGGGACGTGCCGAGGGGACGCGCTACGGAACGTGCCCATGGACGTGCCACGGGACGTGCCAGAGGACGCGCCGCGCGACAAGCATTTCGCCTGAGACATCCCTTGAATTCTGGCCTCCCAAGAGGCCCCGCTCGAGACATCCCCCAACTCTGCAAAACCAGCGTTTCGCTCGAGACATCCTCAACAAATTCTGAAAAACAAGCGTTTCGCTCGAGAAATCCTCAAATTTTAATCCGCCAACCCACCTCGACCTCGATATTCATTAGGGAAAGAATCCGCTGGCCCACCTCATTGAAGCACCGGGGACAGGTTTACCAACTAAAAGAGAACCCTGGGCCCACGCCTTTTCCGGGAAAATCCGCCGACCCTGTCGGCATGTGGAAGAGGCTGTTCCGTTTGACTTGTCTTCGTCGACGTCGGCGTCGTCGCCGCTTCCTCTCTTCCCTTGGGCCCGTCGCCGCCCTCCACTTTTCCTGGGCCCTCCTCCTCAAGCGCGCCAGCCAATGAGCAACGTCGCAATCGAGTCGCAGCCTTTTGATCCATTCCCCGCAAAAAGAAAGGAGGTCCCAAGCGGTGGTCCCGGGTGGGCCCGGGGGTGTTGCGGGGGGGCTCCGGTCAGAATGCCGCGCCCCATCTGGGGGGGCCCGGGGCGCAATAAAGGCCCAAAACGAGCCAAGAGTGCCCGAAAGGCCCCCAAGACGGTCCCAAAGGACCCCGAATCGCCGAACCATCGGTCCAAGACATGCATACGGCCTCGAAACGGCCCAAGACGGCTGGAAGACGCCCCAAGAGGCCTCGAAGAGCACTCTCGAGAGCCCCGAGAAGCAAAATTCATGGGTGTGCTTTCGAAGTTCTCAAAGATTTGAGCGTTCTCGCCTTTTCTGCTTCTCGCGCTCCACAACGGCCCAAGAGGTTCCAACGATCGCCCCAAGAAGCCTGCAAAAGGGTCCCGACCGAAACGGGCCAAAGAGGGCCCGAAGAGAGCCCAAAACGCCACGGGGACACCAAGACGGCTCAAAGCGGCCTCAAACAGCCCAAGATAAGCCAAAAAGGGTCCAAGCGGCCCACAGGGCGGCCCCAGGAGGCCCTCATGGGCACTTCCAGAAGCGACAAACATTGATTTCCCCATTAGTTTCGCTCG